CCCACCCACCTTGGGCGCACTGCCCTGTGGGAGGGTCACACCTGACCCCCTGTGGCCCCGGGTCCAGGCTCCTTCTGCTCCTGGCCTGCAGGGCTGCTGCTGGACCCCGCTGACCAGGAGCGTCCCTTCCATCTGCCCCAGCGCTGCCCAGCCCAGTCTGGCTCCGGGACTCTCCCATTGGAGAGGTGGAGGAGAGTGCAGGGAGCCTGGGTGGGGGCTGCGGAGGCTGCCCCACCAGAGTCCTTGTCTGGGCTGGCTCCCACCACCACCACCACAGCGGAACATGCCCATGGCCTTTGCGATCTTAGTCTGAGTTTCCTGCCACCAGTGCCCAGCACCTCCCCAGCACTTCATTTCCCGTTCCTGATGCTCAGGAGGAGGGTGGTGGTTAGAGCAGCCCAAGGGGCATGACACCCCGAGACTCCAGGGGGCGTGGAGCTTTCTCCACCAAGTTCCTCCGTTAGAGCCTGGGCAGAGCCTCGGTCCTCCGGGAGTGCTGGGGGTGGAGACTGCGGAAGCTGCTGGGGAGGAGGTGCGGGATGAACTGGCCCAGAGGGAAGAGTCCCCGCCTTCCTCAGATTGCTGCCCCCTGGGGGAAGTTCAGTGACTCGGAGGTGTCCTTCACCCAGGCCCGCAGGATTAGTGGGGGCCCACTCATGTCTCACCTCTGGCCCTGTGGACTGTGTCTGGGTTGGCGGAGGCCCCCGCCCAGCAGCAGGGCTCAGCCTGCCAGAGAATTTTTGGCTCTTCTTCCGGAGACTATGAGCTGACTCTGCCCTGCAGGAGATTTTGCAGAGAGGTTTTGCTTTGGGGGAGACGGGGACTTTGGGGAGACTGGGGCTTTAGGGAGACTGACTCTGAGAGTGTGCAACTTTGCTTCTGGGACCCCAGCAAGCTGCAGGTTGGGACTGCGACTTTCTTTCTTTCGGGCTGGTGTTGGGTGTGTGAGTTGGTTGTGTGTGTGTGTGTGTGTGTGTGTGTGTGTGTCTGTCTGTCTGTCTGTCTGTGAGGGTGCTTGTGTGTACTGTTGCAGGAGTTCACGGAGTGTTGTCTGGGGGTGTGCGGGGTGTTGTGTGGGTGGCAGGGCTGAGTGCTGGTGTGTGAACTGCTGATAGCTGTTGCCGGCTTGCTTTACCCTGCGAGAGGTCTGTGTGTTGTGGACGTGTGTTTGGGGCTGTGTGCCGGGTTGACTGTGTGTTGTGTTGCTGGCGTGATCCGTCTGAGTGTGTTCTGCTGTGTAGGGCAGCATAGATATGTGGGTGTGGGTGTGGCCGCGGTGGCTGGACTGGGGGGGCGGGGGAGGGTAGGCGGCGACGCCCCAGCGGGAGGGGCACTCTGCTGGGTGGACATGGGCTGGACAGTCCAGGTGCTGCGGTGGGGGGCAGCTGGGCGCCGGCTGGGGAGCGCCTGCAGCGGCGGGCGCAGGGCACGGCGGGGAGGGCGGGGACAGAGCCGGGGAGGCCGCTGGGCCCCGGGGGCCTGGCCAGGCCGGCGCCAGCCGCCAAGTTGAAAGGCGGCCGCGGCCCCTCCTCGCTGCTCCCCATTGCGCCCGCGAGGGTTCCGGCGCGATGCAGTGGGGGGCGGCAGGGCTCACCGAGGAGTGAGGGTCCCTAAGAGGCGGACCCTTCAGTGCGGCTTCGGCCTCGAGCCCGCGCTCCGTGGCAAGAATCGCCCGGCCTCCCTTCCCCAACCCGACGCGTGCGGGAGCCACGCGGACCCCAGGCCGTTAGAACGCGCCGTCCCTCGCCGCGTGCCCGCGGGGTCCCCGGAGTCGCGCGCCCAGCTCGGAGCTTGCACCCGGGGCGCTCCGCGGCAGTCGGGTCTCTTCTCGCAGCCGCGCCCGCCGCGCCGCTCGGACCCCACGACCCCACCCCGGTGAAAACTTCAGACACGACCCCGGGACCCCAACCCACGCCCGCGTGGACGGCGAGCCAGCTGCGGGGTATCCCCAAGGGAGGACCGCTCTGGGGTGCGAGCCGGAGCGCGAGGGACCGGTCCGAGCCGCCTTTTGCCCGGGGCAGGCGCCCTTCGCGGGTCCTGTCCACAGCCATTCAGGAGCCCGGCGACTGACCCTCCCCCGGGCCTGGGTTCGCCTGGACTCGGTGTTTGAGTCCCTTCTCGGCCCCGTCAGCCCTGTGGCCTGGAGAAATTCACAAGACCTTTCCGAACCGCGATCACTGGAAAAAGACCCGCCGGGGTGGCACTGGGTGCCAGGGCGCCGGAGGTGGGGGGCTGCCTTCCCTGCATCGAGACCCCCGCAGCCCTGCTGGCTGGGCACTAGGTGGGTCTGAGCCCAACGGGTTTCGTAAGCCCCTGCTTCTGAGAAGGAGGCCTGGGGTAGCCAAGCCAGGCAGAGGAAACTGAGAAGGATTCAGGGTCCCCCCCACCCAGCACAGCTCAATTCAGACCCACCAAGCATTTAATGAACACCTTCTATATGCACCAGGGAGAGAGAGAGGAAAAGAGAGAGAGAGAAAGGGAGAGAGAGAGAGAGAGAGAGGGAGGGAGAGAGAGAGGGAGGGAGAGAGAGAGGGAGGGAGAGAGAGAGAGAAAGAGAGAGAGAGAGTTTGAGACAAAAAGAAACAAAAGTGGGAAAACTTGGGCCAGAGATGCCGAGTGGGGGAGGGGGCACCCGCCTTGCCTGCAGCTACCGCCTGGCTGGAGCCGAGGCCTGTCTGCCAGCCGAGCGGTTGCTCATTACAGCAATTATGTTGCTCGAAGTTTGCTTAGACCCTAAATTGCGGGAGCTTCGAGGAGCCAGGAGGTCCGGAGCCCCAGCCAGAGGAGACAACTGATCCTGCCCAGCCATCCCCCACCTCTGCAGCCCCAGGCCCACCCGTGACTCCCAGAGACCCCCCTCACTGGTGCTCCCCAACTCTGTCCCAAATTCTCTCAACCAGGAGGACAGACTCTGGGCCCATTTCGCAGATGAGAAGATAGAGTGGCAGGGGAAGGAGGGGCCCCAAGAACCACTGTCAGCAAGTGGCAGGACAAGGTAGAGCCCCTGGGATTGGAGGAGCCAAACTTCCTTGCTCTCACCTACGCAAACGCAAGCAAGAGGCAGCTGTGTAGCCCCAAGAAGCCCAGAAGATTTGGGGGCACCAGCAGATCCCATGCACCCCACTGAGGAGGATTCGTTTCCTGTGACTTTGAGACCGATAGCATTCAAGCCTCAAGCCGCAGAGCTGTGAGGGGGTGCAGGTTAGAGTCTGACCGCCCCATCTTCTGCACAGTGCCTGCAGTTCAACACTTTGAGGCTGCCCTTGGCAGGACCCCCACTCCAGGCTGGAGGAGGGGAGGGCAGGGGTCTTACAAGTTGGGGTGCTAGAACACAAGTCCCCAACCCCTTGCTCTCTGGAAATTCCTGGGCCATGCCAGCCCTGGGTGTCGGACAGGCGTTCCCTGGGCCAAGGCCTCTCCACTCTATCTGGCCCTCTCAAACTAGACTTTCTCTTCCAAATTCAAAGCTGCGTCCTTGAGTCCTTGGGGTCTGACATCCGTGGCTCAGCTGGGCTTCCCCTTCCTCCGCAGAGAAGGCCCTGGGAGTGGGGGTTCCCGCGTGGAGTAGGGACATGCTGGGGCCTGGGCTGGGTTAATATTAGTCCCAGCAGATCTGAGAATTTAGCCAGGTGCCCCCCCAGAAGAAAGAACAGGGGGCCGGGCCCAGAACCTGGAGCTTCATGCACGAGGCCACGTGAATCCGTGTCCTGCACAATCCCCACCTGGACTGCCTTCAAGCCTCTCCCGAAGCCCGCCTCCTGAGCATGTGAGGGAAGAGCATGGAGCAGGTGGGTGTTGAGAGGGAGGGTGCACACAGACTAGGTCAGGCGGGCCACACCCCACCCCCACACTCCCTGTTCTTTTTTTCAGGAATTCTCCATTTGGCAGCTCCAAATGAGTTCCACACGCAGCGTCTACGTCTACACCGTCTACGTCTATACCGTGGGCTGCCTCCATCCCCCACCTGGCCTCTAGTGGGAAAAACAGGTTTGCGGGGGTGGGAGTTGTCTGGATTAGCTGTCTGCAGTCATCAAACCCTTTGGGTGATTCGCTTTGTTTTCATAGACAGGTTAAAAGGGGGAGAAAAAAGAGTTGGTTATGGGTCGCCTGAGCAAGTGTCGATTTCAGCTTAAAGTGAATTGGAAAATTGAGCCTAATTATCCCGGGTAATTGCTTCAATTCTCCACTTGACTTTGCCAGCACAGATCTGTCCTGCCTGTTCAGAAAGACGAGCCCCCCCATCCTGTTGTCACCTCACAAAGTTACCCTGTGCAACCCCGAGCCATTTGGGAATCTTCTCGATGGGAAGAGACGCACCTCCCAAAAACCCAAATAACAAACTAAGATTAAAGTCAAAATCAATGAAGAGATCGTTCCCTGTAGCTTAAAATTAATTTATTTAACAAATATAGCTATAATATAAATGATAATAAAATTTCCAATATACAGTATATTACACGTGATCCCTTCCAAAGGGATTCCAGAGAGCCACGCAGATGTGCGTGAAAGAGGAGCAAGGTTTTCGTTTCACTGCACGGGGTCGGTTTGAGTGGGTTTGCTAAGAGCGGTTCCTTCCACCTACCTTGGCGACACATAGGGGTATCCCCCACCTCAGCCCCGCCAAGGCTGGACTGTCTGTGCCGGGAAGCTGGGGGGCTCTGGGGCTCTCTCCAGTGACCTCTTTCTGGACGCTTCGGCCTCCCAGCCCGCACCCGCTGTTAGCCCTTGGCCCCGCAGCAGCGCTGGGCACGGAGGCGGCCACGGAGAAGCCCCAACACTGCAGGGGACTCAGAAAATCTCTCTGGCTGCAGGGTTCTCGGTCTCCCAAACCGGGGTGGGTGCAGGGGGAGCTGGGTTTGGGCGCGTTTTGGGGACCCTCCCGGCCACTCGGGGGAGGCGAAGTCACTGCAGCGCGCAGACTGGGGTAAGAGAAAGAGCGCGGGAGGAGCCCGGGTTCTGCGGGGAAATCGCAGGAGGGGCGGGCGGGGAGCATCCGCGGGGCCGGGAAGCCCAGCATCTGGGGCCTCTATGTCAGGTGGTACATGCTGTAGCCCACGTGGGCCGTGTAGAGTCCCACGGGCGCCACGGGCAGCGCGGCGCGCTGGAAGGGGCCCGAGGCGCCGTAGATGGAGGCGCTGGCGGCGGCGGCCACGGCCGCGGGGCCGCCGAGCGGGAAGGAGAGGCCGAAGGCGGCCGGCGGCAGCATGGGCTTCGCGGCCATCTTCAGCTTCTCCAGCTCGGCCTCCTGCAGTCTCTTGGCCTTGGCGCGGCGGTTCTGGAACCAGATCTTCACCTGCGTCTCGGTGAGGCTGAGCGAGCTGGAGAACTCGGCGCGCTCGGCGATGGACAGGTACTGCTTCTGGCGGAACTTGCGCTCCAGAGCCAGGAGCTGCGCCGTGGTGAAGGGCGTCCGCGGCTTGCGGTTGGTCTTGTGCTTGCGCAGGGTGCAGGCTGGGGGGCTCAGCCGGCCTGTGGGCCCAGAGGGGAGGGGGAAGGGGGGAGGGAGGGGGGAGGCGGAGAGGGAGAGTTAGGGCTGCGGGGCCCCTCCGCCTGGGATGTGCCTGCATCACCCTCTGAGATCCATCCCGAGCAGTAGCTACCCCGGAACTTGGGCGCCAGCAGGTTAAGCTTCTTCTCCCTGGGTGTCCCACAGACCCCGGGGGAACCCCCAGCTCTGTGTCAGCGACCTAACTAAGGAAGCGACCCCTTTCCCTGGGCTACAGCTTGCTTGCTGGTGTGGCTAGTGTGCCCAGGGAGGCATTAGGAAGGAAGAGGCCACTAATCCCAGCCCCGAGATGCAGGTACCCGCCGACTCACAACAGCAGGGCCCAGGACCCAGCAAACTCTGGGTGGCACAGAACCCACTTCTCCGAAGTCTGCATTGCTGCCAGGGAAGGGCAAGGTCCTCTGTGGGCGAAGGATGGCATGGCCTCCAGAGACAGAGAACGCCGGTCCCAAAGCTGGACCACACTGTCCACGACTCTGACATGCCGACAATGCTGGGGAGGGGAGTGCCTGCCTAGCAGGCCTTGTGGCCCACTGTGTTGTGTGTGTATTGTGTGTATTTGCATGTGTGTGTGTGGGGGGGGGTGGGGGGGCTTGACTTGATGTCAACTCTATGCAGAGGACCAGAGGCAGCTGTCTTTTTTCTTACTGTTTCAGACCCCCTCTCAGGATGTGAGGCGGGAGCAGCAGCCAGACTCAATGTGAACAGACTCTTCCCAGGGAAAGAAAGTCTCTCTGGCTTGGGGGTCAGCCAGGGCCTTTCTGGAATTTCCCAGTTTCGGAAAGGCCGGCTTGGTCTCCACCCGGAGAATCATGAATTCAAATCGAGATGGCCTCACCATGCGGGATTCAGCTTACGGTTGCATTCTTGCATTCGTTTAGGGCTTTAGAAAGGAAACAGAGCAAAACCCAACGACCAAAGGATGCCTGCCTCTCAGACGCCAGGGGCTGTAATGAACATCTGCCCTCCCCAGCAGCTAAAGCCCACGTCACTCCCAGCAACCACCCCTCCCGCGCGAAGCACCTTCCCCAGCCCTCAGCCCCAGGGAGGGCCTGGCCATGCACAGACGTTCAATCCCCAGATAAAAATCATTCCTCAGCATCACGCCATTGAATTCAGGTTGCTATTATGTGGCGCCAAATAATCGGAGGAAACAGAGGAAAACTTGGGAATTTCCCGTGCTCCTGAAATATCTCCGAGCCGGCTTGTGGGGCCCAGCGGCGGGGGGCTCCTCCAGGCCTGGGAGCGACCTGGGCGACTGCCCACGGCTCCAAGGGCCCGGTCCGAGGGCCAGGTCGCTGGCGATGGGGAGCACCGCGCGCACCCCGAGGGGGCGCCTCCCACTGTCTGCCTTGGTGCCCCGCCCCCTCCGCGGGAACCCGAGGGCCCCCGACCCTCCCATCCATCCTGAAACCCTGGGATGGGCTGGGGGTGGCGGGGAGGATCGGGAGGGGAGGTGTATTTTGCAAGGCAGCCTTCAGAAACCGGGGGCAGAAAAGAGGCTTGAAGCGCGCGCGTCGCTAGAAAGCGAAACCGCTTCCTGGGAAGAACTGGGGGCCAACCGACGGCACCCACCCGCTGGGCAGCGGCTGAAAACCCGCCGAGGCCAGGGTGGGGGACCTGGGGCGGGGGGCGTCTGGGGCCGCCGAATGGGGGCCTGCAAGCGGACTCTCCCGGGCGGCGCGCGGGAAGGGGCCGCCCCGCGCCCCAGGTAGCCGGCAGGTACGCAGACTCGCAGGCGCCGGCGCGCCCGCCCGGGGCCCCGCGGCCGGCCGGCCCGGCCCTCCCCCGCCGCCGCCGCGCTGCCGGGCTACTCACGGGCCGGGGGCGGGGAGAAGCGGGGGTTCTGCATCCACGGGGTGCGCTCGGCCTTCTCGGGGCTCTCGGCTTTGACGAGCGCGTCTTCGGGCAGCTTGAGGAGCCCTCCCACCGAGAAGGGGCCGAGCGGCCGCGGGGAGGCCGGCGCGTCCGGGGCGCCCAGGGGTCCGGGCCGGGCGCCCAGGGGCTGCGCGGAGCCGCCGGCCGCCGGCGCGCCCTCCGAGGCGGCCAGCGCGCTGTCCTTGGCCCCGGGCTTCCTGTGGTCGGCCATGAGCGCCTCCACGCTGAAGGGCAGCAGCGACGGGGACACCTTGGGCTTGGCCCCTTCCTCGTCGGCCCCCATCGCGGCCGGGGGCGCGGCCGCCGCGGCGCCGGGGCCCTGGCCCCCGCCGCCCCCCGCCGGCTGGCCGAAGGCGGAGTCCTCCACTTTGACACCGAGCGGCAAAGAAGTCATGTCAGCAGCCGGGGCCATGCAGAGCCGGGCATGGGCTGCGGGGCGGGCCTGGAGCGCCGGCCGCCTCTGGGCGCGCCAGGGGCCCTGGCCGGCGGGCCCTCCCGCGCGCGCCTCCCGCCCCTCCCAAGGGCCCGCTCGGGCCGGCCGGCCTGGCTGATCGCTGGCGCCGCCGCGCAGACCGACCTCCCGGGCGCAGCAGCCGGCTCCGGGTCCGGCCGCGCTCCCCAGAGAACTCGTTAATAAGGCGAGGCCCGCGCCGCGGCGGCCAATCAGCGCGCGAGGGGGCGGGCCCGGCAACGCCCATTGGCCCGCGCGCCGACTCGCCCCGGGCGCGCCGGGCTCCGGGCCGCGCGCAGCCGGGCCCGACCCGGAGGGCAGAGCAGGGGAGGGGCGCTGGGGAAACTTTCCTGCCAGCCCGAGACCCAACCGGCCTCTCTCGGGGCGCCCGGGGCTCGGTTTCGCCGAACTCCTGGGAGTCGCCCCTAGTTCCTGGCTCTTGCTCTTCAGCCCTCCGCTCCTCTCCCTCTCCTGGCGCCGCGCTCCCAGCAACACCCCCGCTCCCTGCCTGCTCCGCGGCAGCCCCTCACCTTTCTCCTCCGAGGCTGAGCTTGCTTCTGGCCCCGTCGCTCCTCCTCTGCTCGTGGCACAGATTCCAGACCAGACGGTGCTCTCGAAGAGAGTGCTTGACAGTTTGTGGGACGGTGCGCACGGCGACTTCCTTGGCCCCGGGCGCCGTTGCGTTCTTGGTGTGACACCGGTCGTTTTCCCGGCTTCAATCGTCAACACGTCTCCCCCCCTCCGGCCTGTCCGAGCGCTGGACGGGAGTTTCCTTAAGGCCACGCTCGTGGGGATGTTCGGATAGCACAAAATGAGGACCGTCGGGAATCCATAAGCAAATTTCCCTCCCATTCCGTGTGCCCCTGCAACGCCCCTCCCTCGCCGCACAACTTATCTAGGGATGATTTTGACACCTATTCCCGAGGCCAGGCGCAAAGGGCCTCCTGGTCCTTTGAAGAGAGAATTTACGAAATAAAACCAGCAGATCTGGCCTCAACATGACCTCAAGCCGCGCGTCCGGAAACAATGCCGCGTCCCTATCTCTGGGTCTCTGATCTTGAGGTGGGGGCTCAGGGGGTGGGGAAGCCCGCTGCGGCGGGGACGGGGGAGGGCAGGGAAGGGAAGGGTCGGGTTCCTGGCGGCGGGTCCTTGATGTTGGGCTTGAGAATTCTCTCTCGGTGATGACCCATTTCGGAGGAAACGTGATTTTAAAGGGACTGGTTTTAAGTGAGGAAAAGGAGTCAGGGCGCGCTGGAGCGCGCTGAGGTGGGGTCTGGCTCTTTTGCGCCTTCTCCCCGTTTCCAGCGCTGAGGTGGGGTCTGGCTCTTTTGCGCCTTCTCCCCGTTTACAGCCTCTGGTCCCGGGCCTGGCGGTTGATGACTGCGGGGCTCTAATCTCCGGGAAACACCAGGGGCTGCGTGGCCATTTAGGGGTAATTATCCGAGCGCGGAGGGACAGCGAATTCCCTCGCCTTTTAACTGGGCGCAATAAAAACTGTCGGTGAGGGGCGTCCAGATTAAGGAAAATAAATTACTCGAGCGGGAACTTTATTACCAAGGCGGGCGCCCGGGGTCTGGCGGGCGGGGTCGGGCCGGGCCGCCCGGGGCGCGCGGCGGCGGCCTCGCTCCCGGATCCCGCAGGCTCGGGAGACGCTGGTGAAGGCCTCGGGGCGGGTTGCAGTGCTCGCCCCTAGGAGCTGGATCCGCGCCGCCTCCCCCGGCTAGTGCGGGTGGCTAGCGCGGGTGGCGGCGGCCCGGGACAACGCCGGGCTTGGAGCCGCGGGTCCGAGGCCACCGGCCGACGCGCGCCGCAGCCCTGGGGCGCAGGGACGGGCCGCGACTCCTTCCTCCGGGGAGGGAAACTGAGGCCGCCTCTGCCAGCGGCCCCCACGGCAGGCAGGGCGCGCCGAGACCCGTTGTGGAGCGGGGCGGACGCAGCTTAACCGGGCTGTAGGCCCAGCCCGCGTCTTGGGGTCGCGGATCCCGTGAAAAGTCTCTCTGGGCGAGCTCCGGAACCCCGGGTTTGGAGGACCCTCTTTTCGGCGGCCGCGAAGCGCGCTATCTTTGGGGGACGCTTACTTTGTTTAGCCTCGCCCGTTTCCGCCCAAGGGTTCGCTTAGCAGAGCCCTTGGCTGGCGGGTTCACCGAGAACTTTTCCCAAGTCAAATATACTGCGGCACCAAGGCCGGCCCCGGGGCGCGGAATCCGCTTGGAGCTCCCAGGTTCAGAGCGCCCGGGTAGACTGGGGCGCAGGGGCCGTGGGAGGGCGGGTTCGGCGGGGATCCCGGACTGCGTCGGGCGCTGGGGCCGAGCCGCGAGGCCGGGCGGCGGGGACCAGGGCCGCATCGCTAATTGCGGGGATAAACAATCTGTCACGATCCCTCTGAGCGCCTAATAGGCAGACGAGGATGTTGTTTTTAGGCGCCAGCGGCGGCCCGATCAAAGGCTGCAGCCGGCGCTGGGGCCCTTGAAGTCGCGCCCCCGCCTCCAGGGAGCAACCCCCAGCCCTGCCGCCCGCCTCCTCCGCTGACCGAGCCTGTCCCGGGGCCCGGGGGCATCTTTGTCGCTGGGCTTTGCTGGGCTCTGGGTTCGGGTCCGCTCGGACTTGCGGGCGCGGCAGGTTAGCGGGACGCGCTCGCGCGCGGCCAGGCCAGGTCGGGCGTGTGCCCTGCGGAGGGAAAAAGGGGGTTCGGCTCCCGCGCACGTGGCAGGCGCCCTCTGGGAGCGCGCGGGGTCCGGCTGCAGCGAGCGGACCCAGAAACAGAAACCAGTGTGCGATCCTGGGGAAAACGCCGTCCCGCCACAGAGCGCGCGCGTCCTTGCGGGTCGCCGGGAAGGGAACTTTCTCCGCGGCATCTGCGCCTGGAGTTTTTTTTTTTCCTTCCCCAACAGACCCGGAGGGGGCTGTTATCTCGCTACACGCACGGAGCACCGAGCGCCGCTGCCCCCCGGCCTGTCTCGGGCGGGCGCACAGCCGCGGTGCGCGGGGCTGTAATTCACGGCTGGCAAGGCCAGGGCTGGACGGCGGCAGATAAGGCCAGTCCGCGCCCGCACCCACCCGCGCCCGCTCACCAGCCCTCCCCTCCTCCCGGTCTCGGGGACACAGAACCGCGGGCGGCTTTGCTTTTATTTCATTTCGTCCCCCCATACGACGACGATGATTTATTTGTGGGGGTTGCAGAAGAAGGGGGTGGTTTCAGACTCCTTCAGGGGGTAAGATTCGTTTTTCGGGGAACCTGTGTGAAAGCCCGCGCGCCCTCCCCACCGGCTGTCGCCAGAGGACGGTCCTTGCAGATGGGTCCCCGCTTGGGCACTCGCCGCGCCGGCCGCCCGTTGGGTTAGCAGCTTTTGTTTGCTTGGTGCCCCTTCCCTCCCCCCTTCCACTGCATTTTGTGGCCTGGGCCCAGGAATCCCGCGTGCATTTTTTTTTTCAGAAAGGGGCAGCTCAGTGGGATCCCCGGCAATTAGCGAGCCCCAAACAGTCCGCTTTAATAGAATGAATGTGCTGTGAAACCCGATTACCCGGAACGATTTATTTTGGTGGGAACTCACCAATCTCCAGGGGGCGGCGAAAGGGGGAGCGAGGAGGTATTTTGTCCTGGGGGGCGGGGCGGGGTAGGCGGAATGCCCCGCGTCCTAGGGATCCCCCCGTTCAGTGAGTGTTGGGGGTGCTCTGGGTCCCAGCTCACCCTGGGTTTTGGTCCCTGTCCTCTAGCAACGAAGATTGGGGACTGCTGTGGCACTGGTGGTTCTTGGGAGTGTGCACAGGTTTCCAGAGAATTCCGAAGAGCTAAAAACTCAGCGGGTCCGCACTAGGCAGCGGATCCCCACAGAAGACAGTCAGAGGCGTTTCTGCTTTTCTGCTTTCCTGGGACTTGGCAAAACAACTCAACTTTGAAAGAGTTTTAACGCTCAGGAAGGCCAGGGCAAGAAGGGAACCAAAGCTCTGTGGAAGGATGTTTCTGGTGCTCATTCCTCTGCATGTGGAGACCCTTGTGTGTACCCCAGGACCGCCCTAGAGCCTGGGATTGGGTGGTGCCAGGGGAACCCCACGGCCTCCGGATTCCTACCCCTGACCACCCTGCCCCGCCCATCTGTTCCCTCTCGCTCAGGGATTGAGGGGTGGGGGGCTTCCTAGTGTCTTTACCTTAGGAAGGGGAGCATGGGGGCCGCCCTTTCAAACGGCCCAAATTAATGTGATCGCGACAAGAGGGTGCGCTCGGGAAAGATGAAAGAGGAGGCCACCGACTCCTCTCAGGGCTCTATAATTATAGATAATATATCCCATTTCAAAGCAATTAGACCAATCAGGCGTAACGAACCACTTTGCTGCCCACGAATAACAAAGGCACTCGGTTATTTAAGCTGGAGATGTCAGGACGACCCGAGGCTCTGGGCCCCCACCAAACGTCTCCCATCCGGCTTCAGCCCACCCGGGACCCGCCAGGCTGGGTGTCTCCCCAGCACCCCACGGCCCCCAGGCCCTGCCCAGCGCACGAGGGATGCGCTCCGTTCCGCGGAGTGGAAGGGAATTGACTTATGCTGAAACGGGGCGACAAGCCTCTTGTCCCAGGCTTCACGAACTTTATCCTCTTTAATCCTCTGTCCCCTGGGAGAGAGGTATTATCATAGACATTTCTGTTCCAGATGAGAGAACAGAATCAGAGAGGTTAAATGCCTTGCCCAGGGTCACGCATCTAGTTAGCAGCGCTGGCGGGGACCTGGACACAGAGGAGCCGATGCGGCCCCTGCCCCCACCCCACCCTTCCAGGCAGCAGTTCCCCCGCCACCGCCAGGAAGAACGCAGGAGAATGCTGCCGAGGCCGGCAGGTTTCTGGAGAACCGCCCCCAGGCCCCGCCCCCTATTAGCCTCAGGTCCACCCTTCCAGGCCGCCTCTCTCGCCTGGGGATCCCCACCACCCTCTGCGCACCTTGGAGAAAACCGGTTGCTCGCACCGTGCGTGTATTACATAGCGAGGATTCGGGTCTCAGAGAGAACAACCAGCAAACGAAAAGCAGGTCTGGGCAGCCGGGCTGCGTCTCTAGCCAAAGGCCAGGGGTCC